CACTGCAGGATGTGCTTCGCTGGAATCAGGAAGTCTATGAGGTAGCGCAGTCCATCCCCACGGTACGTCTTCTCCACCACATCAAACACTTGGCACAGCACGGTGGCTGCGGTGGCCTCGAATGGAGGATAGAGCACCGATAACGTACTCTGAATGCAACCGTCCAGCGACTCCGAGTCCTGCCAAGAAAGACGGTGTTAGCGGCAGCACGCTGCGACATGTCCCAGCGCCCCGGCAAGCCCGAGAGCCACGAGCACGGCCATATCCGAATGCAGGAGGATCAAAAGAGCGAAGCCCTGTCCTTTGTAGTTTCTTTTGGCACTGGCAATTTTAGGTAAAAAAATAAAACCCCAGCTCACTGGAGACGCCAGGGAAATGCTGGCGGAGCGCTGCGCGCCGCGGCAAGATTGCCCGACTTTTGCTTACGCAGCAAGTCCCTCTCCTGCCTGCGCTGGGTGGGGCTCCTATTAAACCATTACCGCAACACGTGAGCGCAGGCAAGCGGGCGAGAGCGTCATGGGGTGCACAAACCCGCAGGCCCCGTGGTTTGAACAGCCCGGGCTGGAAACACCAGGCCACGTTCAGGGACGTTACGTTGCCCGCCCGGCCGAGGGGACTTGCAGGAGCAGCTTCGGAGCGGCTGGAGTTGCTCAGCGTGCTTCACGCTGTCACTAAGAGTGCCCATGTGGAGCTTTGGTACCAGGGAAAGCCCCTCGCAATTGCAGAGCTGTTTGGTTGTTTGCCCCTCGTGATGGGCTCACTCCAGGAGCCAGGAAGTTCTGGCAGCGAGAGAAGCCTCCCAGCAGGATCTGCAGACTATGTGTGAACGCGATTGCCCTTAGCAGCACAGCGTGCCCACGTAGCGGAAGAGTTCCCATTTCCTGCTCACGGATCAGAGGTGGTGGTTTCACCACTTTCCCCTTTGCTCTCGAGAACCTGCCAGCCAGAGCCTGCCCGTGCTGTGAGAACCACTTCCAGTCCTGGAGGCCAAATCTGGATGCACAGCATGGATGTAAATCAAGAGCGAGAGCAGACAGAGAGACAGCAAGATGGAAAAAATAATAGTCCACATCTGCAGAGAGACTCAGGATCCTCTGTGCCTTTTTAGAGGGGATCAGACTGTTTCACTTCTTCAGCTGTAAGTGAGCACATGGTTATTGCTCCACTGTCTTCATAACATGCAACAGCCTCAGAGCAGAACCTACGTTGACCAGCAGCTGCAGCGGAGAAGGTGCTCCTCGCCCAGGGCTTCCCACCTCCCACAGCCGCTCAGTGATCTTTAGTTTGTCACAGGGAGCATTGGGTTTTTGGAAGGGCAGCACAAACACCCTGTGCTGAGGCCTTCCTTGGGCAGCATTGCCCAGGAGGGATAAGGATGCCCTGGCAGTACCTCTAGAGTCTCTGCCTTCACCAAGCTTGGAGAATGTGCACAAACCATGGCTCTTTACCGCTCCTCCTCATGTCAGCAACAAGCAAAGCTAAATGGCACAAGGAAACCTTCTCAGTTTTTCTCAGCTCGGTATGTGAGGCCATCTGCTTCCTGCAATACCCATTCAGGTCAATGCAACCAGCTAAACAGAGGTTAAGGAGTCATTTATTGTATCTTCAGCCCAAGGACTTAAAAAGCAGGAGCCCTAAGTGCAACTCATATTTAAATGGTAGGACGGAGCATTTGGTCCCAGCAGGGACCACGAGATGAGTTACACAGACCCAAGAGGTCAGGCTACGTAAGAAGTGTTCCCTGTGCACAGTATCCTGGACCCATTAAAAGAGGCATGGAGGGGCCCATGGTGCAGGGTGGTACCAAATCCAACACAAAACCTTTCACAGCTGGGTGTCCAACTAGTGTTGCTAAATATTGACATAACGCACCGAATGGGACATGTCCTGACCCTTGTGAAGCAGCAACAAGAAGCCAAACGCAGCCAGCTAAAGCCAGCTCACAGAATCATGGAGTGGTTGAGGTTGGAAGGAACCTCTAGAGATTACCTAGTCCAATCCCTGGCACAAGCAGGGACACCTAGACCGCGTTGCACGGCATCATGTCCAGACAGGTTTTGAATATCTCCTAAGGAGGAGATTCCACAGCCTCTCTGGGCAACCTCTGCCAGTGCTTTGTCACCGTCACAGTCAGGAAGTTTTCCCTCAAATTCAGGCAGAACCTCCTGTGCTTCGGTTTGTGGCCATTGCCTTTTGTCCTAGTACTGATCACCACTGCAAAGAGTCTGGCCCCATCCTCTTGACACTCTCCCTTAAGGAATTTATACACATTGATAAGATCAGCTCTCAGCTTTCTCTTCTGTAGCTGAACAGGCCCAGCTCCCGCAGCCTCTCCTCACAGGAGAGCTGCCCCAGTCCTCATCATCTTTGTAACTCTGTGCTGGACCTTGCCCAGTAGCTCCATGTCCCTCTTTGCTGGGGAGCCCAGCACTGGACACAGCTGCAGTGTGACCAGGGCTAAGTAGAGGGGCAGGATCCCCTCCCTTGACCAGCTCCCAACACTCTTCCTAATGCACCCCAGGAGACCATTGGTCCTCTTGGCCACAGGGGCACATTGCTGCCTCATGGTCACTGTGGTGTCCACGAGGACGCCCAGGTCCTCATCCGCAGAGCTGCCTTCCAGATGGTCAAACCCCAGCCTGTGCCTGGGACTATTCCTCCCGAGGAGCAGGACCCTGCGCTTGCCCTTGTTGAACCTGACAAGGCTCCTCGCTACAGCGTGTCCAGGTCCCTCTGAACAGCAGCAGGGCCTTGCTGGGTATCAGCTGCTCCTCCCAGCTCCGTACTCTCTGCTCCCCTGCTGACGCCAGCCTTAGGCCTGTTCCAGCAAGCATCTTTGCCCTTGTCAGCTGCTCTTTATGCGGGAGCCCTCCTGCTCAGCACCAAGCTCCAAGGAGAGCCCGGACAAACGCTCCTGCAGTGCTACGGCTCATAAAACTGGAGGGCAATTTCCACCCGCCCCTCTCCAGAGCGCAGACTCAAAACTTCAGTCAAAACCAGCTGGACGGTTTCTGCACTGCAGCTTCTGCCCCTCTTCTTCCTACCCTGTTTGAGCAAAATTCTTTGAGATGTTAATTCTGCCTCCACCTCCTGATGAATCGGGTTGCGTTTACTCTTGCAAGTAAAACAGAGAAGTAAAAATATTTGCACATGAGTCACAGCGCACG